ACCCATACTTTTATAATAAAATAGATAAAAAATGAACAGAAAAAATATTAAAAAAATAGGAAAAATATGATTCTTATAAAATAAAAAAAATTTATGGTATAACATTAATAAAATATTCAAAATATTATTTATAGCACAGTTTGTACCTTAAACTAATTTTTAATCCTCACACCATTTCAAAATTTGATAAACTAGTTCTATATAAAAAATAATAATTAAATGTTAAATTTTCTTAAGCATTTAGTGTAGTTAATAAATGCAATTAAAGTTAATGAATAAGAGTATTAGACTTGTTTTCAAACTGCATGGAATTAGTTAATATAGTATGGTTGAATACAATTGCTGTGATTATTTAAGAAAAGGAGGAAAAAGAAAATAGTTACTGTGTTGGTGTTGTTCCAAAATGATCAAAGCTGAGCATGTTTAGACAAAACAACAGGGATACTTGAGAAACATAACATGCTTATTATGCTCGTCTTTCTTGGGTACATAGCGCGTGCCACTTCTACTCCAATCTGCAAATTGCATTCTCCAATCTTCAATTCCTTTCTACCCACATTTCCTTATGCTACATTCATTCCAACGCCCAATGTCTTCTCCATTCACAGTTAGTTTATTTGTTCTCAACCTATTTTTGTTTCACATTCTCAATCCTTCTCATCTTTTACCCTTTAGTTTGTTTTAATTCATTCATACAATCTTATATTTTTCTTTGTTGAAGGGACTAAAAATATTGAATCTCGGTAAATACCAGGTTACCCATGTTTGATTATGATCTCTCTTTTAGAAAAGTTGTTACCATTTACTAAATTTTAGCGTCACCCTTCTGGATCCGAGATCCCTTTTGGGATCTGTTTATAATGGATATGAAAAATAAGAGTTTTAAATTTTGTTTACTCTGTATTTTATTTTTTCATAGAACGCAAAATATTTAGCATTGTCAAATTGTGTGGGTTCGTTTTGGTGATGGATTGGAGTTCAATTTATTTGAATTGGTTTCTTACATTACGGTGAATTTAGGAGTTTTGTCTTTGATAATTGTCACCCAATAAAGCTAAATTGGAATTGACATTTCATTCAAACGGGCTATCATACTGCCTTCTGCCCTGAAAATGAGTGAACAACTTTAGGGTTGTTACTATGCATGGTTAGAACCGAATTGTAATGTCAGCTTTCTTTGGATGCAAGATCCATTTAATCAAAGGGTGGTTCATTTTATCATTCTTCAGCTGGGTCTAATGTACCGTTTGTATATAAATATAAATGATCTTGGGTCCTGTTTTACATTCCGTTGATCACATTTCCATCTGTATTATTTTTATTTTAAACATGATAATTTCGTATTTTCCAGTTTACCAGGCTTTGTATTTGTTTATTTAAATGGATTGACCAATGCACATCATTTGAATGGTTCAACAGAATGCTATGGAGGCTAGTTAGAAGAACCCAAAGTCAGTTAATTTGTGAAAAATAAGCAAGAACATGGCAACGACTAGCAGGGCTGAGAAGAAGGCAGCAGTGGATGCAGCTGCGTGGGTGTTCAACGTTGTCACTTCTGTTGGAGTTATCATTGTAAACAAAGCTTTGATGGCCACTTACGGCTTCAGTTTTGGTAAATTCCTTTTCCAATTTTTAATGATGTCTTTCCTTGACTTACATTGTTGTTGGAGTTATGGAATTTTAGATATAATGGAAGGAAATACTAACTGTGATATACTACAATGTACAAATTTGTTAGATATGTTCATAAAATCTAGAATATTAACCCTTATACTAATCCTAATAACATATCATGGTAATACGTGAAAATATAGTAATTAGTCTTAAGGGACGATGAGGAAATAGGAAACAGTGGAGGATAATTTAAGATTTGACAAAATATTTTTCGATGTTTCCATAGATTTTAAGCCTTGTCCCAATAAATACATTATAATGTTCTGGCTTAATTTCTTATCATCTTTTAAATACGATTTGCCTTTTCCTGCAGCTACAACATTAACAGGTCTTCATTTCCTTACTACAACTTTGATGACATCCATACTAAAGATGGTGGGATACGTCCAGCCTTCGCATTTACCCTTTCCAGAACTTTTAAAATTTGTTTTATTTGCTAACTTCTCCGTTGTTGGAATGAATATTAGTCTAATGTGGAACTCAGTTGGATTCTATCAAGTGAGTTGGGTTGAATTTATCTATCTGTCGATCAATGCATTCAGAAGTTAACATTTCTTTTTAACCATTTTGCAGATTGCTAAGTTGAGTATGATACCTGTATCGTGCCTTTTTGAAGTTGTTTTCGACAAGGTTAGGTACTCTAGAGGCACTAAACTCAGCATATGTGTCGTTCTCTTAGGTGTTGGTGTTTGCACGGTTACTGATGTGAGTGTTAACACAAAAGGTTTTGTTGCTGCCTTTGTAGCAGTGTGGAGCACTTCTATGCAACAATATGTAAGAATGCATTCCACCATATGCGACATACTGCTTCAGTTCAAAATTCAAACTTAAAATATCATATAATTAAATCTAGATTCATGCTTCTGCATGACAACACTACAAAGAGTGGTAGGCAATATGACAAACATTTTGAAGTTTGTCTTAAAATTGTTCCATGTTATGCTTAAATATTTGAATGCATTTTAGGTAGATTCAGGTATCATTTTTCAGCAATCAGCCCTCCTGTGCTGTAAAACATTTGTATAAGAAGTGTTAGTCTACTTTTTTTTAATGAATTTTCAATGTTTCGTGTGTAGTATGTCCATTTCCTTCAGAGGAAGTATTCACTCAGTTCTTTCAACCTATTGGGACATACAGCACCGGCACAGGCTGGATCACTACTTCTTCTGGGCCCTTTTCTAGACTACTTGTTGACAAACAACAGAGTTGACCAATTTGCTTATAATTCAGGTTCTTTGGTAAGTTCTGGAACACAAAAAAAGACACCAATGCCATTGTATTCAATGTGTAAACCCTTGATGATTTACTTTCTCTGAGAAAGTGAGTAAATGCATCTGTGGATTCACATGGGTATACGTATAATGAACGACTTGATGTGTTAAAATAGATATTGATTTCACCTTCAGATGTATGTAGATAAGATAATTGTGCATATGGTATATATGGTTTTTTTTAATGCCTTTATGTTTAAGAATGCCCCATTTCTTTAGTTATACAATCTGCTTATTAATGTGCCTTATTAATCTAAAATACTTTTATAAATTTATCGTATATGGCTAAAAACTTACTCAGCATTGGAAGCTTTGGGATTTATGTGGTGATTTTCATAGACGAATTTGTCTTAATTTGATTGAATGTGTATAACTTAGATGATACAAACATTATAGAACAAAGTCAAGAATGAAGTAAATTGAATTACAAATTGAACTTTTGTTGCTTTTGATTGTGGTATCTGGGTTGGTATTAACCTTTACCAAGTTTCCCAAATTTTGGGTTGGATTTTGCAGATGTTCATATTTATGTCATGCACTATAGCAGTGGGGACCAACCTTAGTCAATTTATCTGCATTGGCAGATTCACTGCGGTCTCTTTTCAAGTACTAGGCCACATGAAGACCATACTTGTTCTGATAATGGGGTTCTTTTTCTTTGGGAGGGAAGGTCTTAATGTTCAAGTGGTTTTAGGGATGGTTATTGCTGTGTGTGGAATGATATGGTATGGCAATGCCTCATCAAAGCCTGGTGGAAAGGAGCGTTTGAATTACTCTCTTCCCACCAACAAAACAGAAAACCAATAGTTTCATAGAATTCACTCATTATGGTGGTTTATTTACAGAAGTTGAGATGATAAGACGGTAAGTGATTATTTACAGGAAAGTAGTTATTTATTTTAAATTAAAACCTTATTATTTCAATCTCATTTGTAATTCTTTTAATTGATATGATTTATTGTTTTGGATTCCAGTGAATATATTTCATTATAGGGCTGACTACGTTCCAAGCAAAAATATCTCCTTCAATAATGACACTCATCCATTCTTGTTGCTTCTTGATTCTGGTTCTGTCAACAAAAGCAGCATTAAGAGCAGTGTGTTGAGACAGAAATTTTTCACACGACACAAATGAACGACAGAGGTCCTCCCATAGTTTGCCCTCATGAGAGTGCGACTTATCTGAAAGTGCAGGATTAGGTTGTTATTATATTGATACTCTCACATGTAAGTTTATATGATGACTGGTATGGACGCCTTCAATAAATCAAATTAGTTGCAGAATATGATCGATCGGAAGTCTGTTTAAATATTATTTCTGTCAAGAATAAGATTTTAAAGATACTCACAATTCCACCTGATTCTTGTGAATTTAGTTTATTGTGGATAAGAACTTTAAAGAAAATGTTAGATGAAAAAAACAGAGGACAAAGTTAAGCTTTAACAATTTGTAAAGAAAACTATTTATCTGAAAGTATCAGTTACAAGTAACCCATATAAAAGGAAGATTCAATAATATTCGGATTCGGTAACTCGTGAAAGAAAGATTCTCTAGTGCGAAGACCTAAATCGACTAGTGCGAAGACCTAAATCGACAAGTGACTTCATAGAAACTCAGAATTGGGATACGATTAATCGTTGTAAAGTGAACCAGGGACATACTATTGGACAATACACTTAGATAATTTTGCGATTATTTTCGAATACTTTTTACACGAATGGAAAAGAATTACAAGAGTCAAAGGTTTTTTTTTGATATAGACTTAACCAAAAAGGCGATAGAACGATCTTACAAGATCAAATTCCAGGGGAACGGATATTTTATCTTTCTTACATACATACAGTAAATGCTTAGTTTGACAAGTTCAGGAAAAAAAGACTTTCAAGGTGAATAATGATGAAGAAACTTATAATTTCTTGCACAAAAACGATGTCATCATATAATTCACACAGCCAAATACTTTATACAAAAACAAGCGACTAATATTTAAAGAATGTCCATGTTACCATGTAATAAAATTCTAGTGTAAAAAGGTAGTATTTCGCTCCGGGGTTGAAGTGAATATGTAATTTCATCAATAATATTCAAGGTTCTCTACAAATAAAAAACCAGAATCATAAGTAGAGCTTAACGCAAATAACAAACAAAATTGAAATTGTCACAGCATTTAAATAAAACTGATACAAAGTCGGTATGCAAAACATGTCTAGTGTTCTTTCAAATTTCCCTCCTCAACAAAATCTAATCTCCAAAGCCAAAACATAATAGCTTAACGCTTCTTAGAGACACCAACAGTCTTCCCCCTACGGCCAGTTGTCTTGGTGTGCTGACCACGGACTCTAAGGCCCCAGTAGTGCCTCAATCCACGGTGGTTTCTGCATAATGAAACTTAAATAGTTAATTTGGTTCAGAAGTCACCAATACTTCACAAGCAATGCCCAAATTGTCCAGAAAAGTCCTTCGGAAAATTTGTAATTCCACAATTTATGGCAGGGTAAGTTAATCTCATTACACCAATATTTACCATAACAACATAAATGTTCAACTGATTGCAATGATGTTAATCTAACAAATATACGACAATGTATACAGGTCATGTTTCAATTAGCTCTTTCTTTGAAAATTATTTGCTTCTGTCGATCTCGCAAGGTTACAACAAAAATTGGATACTAAATATTCAAAATGACTAGCAGCAAAACCAAATTCAAGTTACTGGTCAAGAAAGCAAATTAAACTTGAAATGCTTCTTCTATAACTGCACTACAATTAAGACTAATATCATCATTAGTTAATGAGTACCATTCTATCCAATTCACAAGATCTTGAAAATTACAAACCAGGCTAGCAGTTACAATACCCAACACAAAATTACAAATTTCTACGCCATGACAGAAAACCAAATCAAATCCAACAACCAACATATTTGGCACAGTTCATCAAACATGAAATATTTCACAAACAAACCACAGAGCAAATCAGTTTAAACAAAACGTCATTCGGCTTTGTCGACAAAAGCAAAACTTATTTTCGACCGAAACTAAATGATGAGACCCAAAAACGATTGAATAACTCAACTATGAATAGACATAGTAAATGAGTGACCTGATTTTCTTGAGTCTCTCCAAGTCATCCCTGAGCTTCATATCGAGAGCATTGGAAACAACTTGGGAGTACTTGCCATCCTTGTAATCCTTCTTCCTGTTAAGAAACCAGTCTGGGATTTTGAATTGCCTAGGGTTGGCTACCACTGTCATCAGATTATCCAACTCGGCAGCACTCAACTCACCAGCCCTGACAGCAGCACAAAAGAAAAAACACCCATGTCAAGAAAACCCAGAAACTCGTGAACCAACGTGCAGTTAAACTGACCAAACAAACAAGCACCTCTTGTTCATGTCAACATCAGCCTTCTTGCAAACCATGTTGGCGAATCTCCTGCCAATACCCTTGATGGAGGTAAGGGCGAACATTATCTTCTGCTTGCCATCAACGTTAGTGTTCAGCACACGGAGAATGTGCTGGAAGTCCTCGTTCGCCACCAGAGCCTGCAATATTCGCAAAAGCAAATTCAATTACCGATAGGGTTCCTCAAAAAATTGAACCTTTTTAGTCAACGTCAAGGAGTGAGAGGTGCTGAAAGGGCACGTACCATTTTCGTCGCGGAAGTATCGTTGGAGAGTGATGGTCGCCGCCGCTGCTATCGGTGCTGGTTGAATGAGGATCTGAAACTCTAGGGTTTGGGAATGAGTGATGTTATATAAATGTGCTGAGCCTGTTCTAGGGTTTTGTCGTGTGGGCTTGTTCAACTTCAGTGGCCCATTTATTACCTCAGTTTGGGCTTTGATTTTTCTTTTATTTCTTATAGAATAGTTGATGAGTAGGCAAATACTTTCTACACCCTAATAAAAAATTTACTACACTAATTTAGAATATTTTTTTGGGTTGAAAAATACATATATTTTCAAATTTTAACAGCTTATTCTCCTCATATCCTCTCACTTCAAATCCTGTGTGATACGTATTCTACGTTAGGTTTTTTATTGCTTACTTGTACTTTACTGTATACCTAACTATGTATTTTTATGTTATTTGATTCTCAATGCCTTCTGGGATACATTTTCAAAGTTACTCCGTTTTTCATTTTCTGTTTTCTGTTTTATTGCTTGATTAAAGACAAATTCTTATTTTTGTTTCCTTAACAATATTATTAAACAACAAATAGAACACTTTATTCTTAATGATTACTATTTTAGTTTCTTTTAATATGTTTATATACTTTCACATAAAAAACAAAACAATTTACTATTCATACATTTTTTAGAATTTTAATTAATTATAATTTGATTCTAATATATTTTTTTATTATCATGAAATTAATTTTACCAATCTTTTTATATTTTCATACATTCAATTTTTTCAAAAAATAAATAACTACGTTCATAGAAAATCGAAGTTTTTAAAATGAATTTTCTTGTAGAAAGTGCTTTTAGATTAAAAACGAGAATTTTTTACTTCTCTTAATTATTTGACCATACCTAAAATGTTTTCCTCGCTAAATTGATGAGATTGATAATTAATCATTAGTATGACTAAGCAAAGTAATGACATCGCCAATCAATCATTAATATGTCCAGAAAGATCAATATCTTATACACTGAGATTTGTTAAAGAAGTTTAATAGTTGGTTAAATATGTTTAATCCTTACACAGAAAATAATAATAATAAAAGGAGATAATACAGCAATAGTTAAGAAATTATTAAATGATATCCTAAACCACACTTTTCTATGATTGGCACTAGTAGGTGATTAAGTTTTTAAACATAAATTCAAATAATTAATGATATTTAACTATATATGACCCAAAGATTGATGGGATCGTAATTAGACCTATTTCAAATTTATTAACTGAAATCGTGTTCAAGTAGAAAATAGTAAAAATACAGAAAATCTTCCAAAATGAAAAAGATAGAAGATAAAAGCCTATAAGAAAAGAAATGGCGGCTAGAACACAGACTACTCCAAACGATTATAAACGACTTTCATTACAAGCTAAGTCAACAGAAACATAACACAAAATGAGACGATGATGAAGAAAAGGACCTGGTTACAGCCTCGTCTATCGTTACTGTACAAGTCTGTTCTATTGAGACCAGAGTGACGACCAAGTTGTGGGTGAAAACTTAGTTTAGCTACAATACATGCACGATACAAAATGAGCTTTCTATAAACATACTAGAATTATGACTGTGACTCTTTTAACAGGACTAGCATAATGATGTTGCTTATTTGTAAAGACGTTAGTTCCATAAGCATCAATAACGTATGTTTTTCTTTTCTACAAGTTTAGTAAAAAAATGTCACAGACTATGATGGATGATAGCAGAGTTTGATTTCATTTCACATGGAGATAGTACAGCCTAACTCTTTGGCGGCGGTATCAAGAAAGTTAATAGACAATCCGGTTGAAAGTCGGCTGTGAGCTTCCCAAGTCAAACATTTTTCTATGTCAGCTTGCCAGTCAATGGCATCCAAATTGAAGTATTGATAAGAAGGGTTGTGGGTGCCATTTATTCTCCGAGGTTTAGGACTAAATCTGATTGAACCAGTATGCAAAATGTCACGAAGAACTGATATACTCAGAGCACGAACATGCGCGCTTGGATGAGAAAGGCATCTGATTGTAGCTGAGAGACGACACTGCATGTGATTTATTTACAGCTCAAATATATCAGTAATTATGACTAAGAAAAATCAAAAGAGTTTTTAGTTTTGCACTAGATAGCCCTTTTGTAAATGTGCATTTGTCTGGGAATTTAAAATTATATTTGCATTCACTAAGTTCTAATAAGGAAAATTTGTTGACCTTTAAAAGGTTTGAAAGGCCGTCTGCCACAGCCAATCCAGATTCTCCAAACTCCAGCACTGGCTGAACCGCTCTAGCTGTCGCTTCCAATAACTGGCCATTGTAATTATTGAAACATAAATATAGCTTAAATATAAAACAAAAATATATGAAAAAGCAAATTCTCCCTTCACATTGCCACTAATAGCTGCTTGAAAATTCATGTTTGTTAGCATACGGAAATAAAATCATGATGTATTATTAGAAAGCTGGTTCATAAGATTAGTAATCTCTTAAGTCACGTTTTGATATAACTTTCTCACCATGTGTGGTTAACCCCGTCGTGTGAGTTCATCAATGCGCACATTTTGAAAACCTAAGATGATGCCCATGCTGGTTGTATAGATATAGAGTTTTGACAATCTAAGTGAGTTTAAGTTTTCCATTGGCTAGAAATGAGAATGTAGAACACGATGAAGACCCATTAATTCATTGTTTTAAGGTTATGTCAATCCATTATGTGATTAGACTCAATTTTTATTAGTATTGTATCTTTCTAATAAACCTCCTTCTCGACAAACTCAACAATAGAAGACCTTGGGGCGCTGTATTTTCAGGAAACCAAGTTTCTTGTAAGAGGATAAAGCAAAATGTAGTGGCATCATGGCATGTAGAATCAGGGTATTGTGCTATGGATAAGAGTAGTAAATTTGTGTGGGTGTAACCTGTTTTTCATGAGCTGATTGAACACTATAAACAATGATTGTCCCTTTGTCAGAAACTTCCCCACTTACTTGTTTCTACAAGTGATGCAAAGAGTAAATTCTAATGCTGTGAAATTTTGTTGTTAGAGGATAGATTATATTTGTAGAAAGCTCCACATGATCGAACCTTAAATCTACTCAGAGGGTAGTGTTAAGACAAAATCAATGCTTTAAAAACAAGACCTGTTAATGAAATTGAAGACACCTAGTCCAATTTCACCTGCTAAAATTGAACCGTGGTCAAACTAACAATAATTATTAATTTTAATATTACAAATTAAACAATAAATTAATATAAAAACAATCATGTTAGGTAAATTTTTAAATAAGAATAAAGAACCATTATATCGGCCCAATAAGATAAAAGATCAATAGCAAAAAGGTTATCTCAATCTTCATTGGTTTTAGACTGATTTGACTGTTTTTAACAAATATTTTGCTCTTCTGATTTTTGGTTTTTCTGAAAACAGTGACTTGACTAATTCACCAGTTTCCCCAAACCTGCTGCTCCGTTCCAATTTTCCACTCTAAGAACATACCAATATTTTAATGTGTTATGCATTAAAGGCATGTTGTTTCATCATGCAGTAGTTTTCAAACTGTTCTCTCTATTTATTTCCATGAAAATGTTTAAGCTGAAGACCAGTATAAAGCCAAATCTATGTGGTCCAACATGCACCGCATTCATCACCTATGATGTATGTTCTTACGATGGACCTTCTCCAAATAATTCCTCCTACTCCTTCAATTTCCAAATTATCTTCTAGCCACTTTTCCCATTATTCATGGTCTCCCTTTCTGCTATCTCAAGTAAACCCTCCATCATCCTTAATGTGAAATAAACTTCATGCAGGTAATGTATACTCCCTATGGACAGGGAGATGACAATGAACATTGTGACCGTGGGGAGGGTCGAGAAGAATAATGGAGAACAAGGTAGTTCAGAAAGGAGAGGCGCCAAAAGGTCACCACTTTCACTTCACTGACAAGACTATGCCAGAGAGCAGACAAACCAACATTGGATAAACAGACAGACTCAAGATCGTCACCTTCATTGGTGGATTGTCTTCTTCAGTGGAAAATAAACAATAAAAACTGAAATGGAAAGAAAAAAGGGAATTGACAGACATGGTGGAGGGAAATAAGAGCATTTATTGATGTAGAGGCTTTTAAGATTGGAGAAGTGGTTGGGGAGGGGGTCAAGAAAGAGGTGGTAGCACCGATTTGGATGATGGCTCGGTTTTGGTGCTTGAACCAGTGGCAAGAGACTGTGGGGCAGGCATCACAAGTGGACTTGGAATGGAGATGAGAAAAGATTGACAATTAATTCATTGAGAAGTAAGTTCTTGATCTAATCATGGCCATGTATGTTGGAGGCAATGGAGGAGCAACTACAGAGGATTGTTCGAATGGAACACGGAGACAAAAGTCTCATACAAAGAGTAGTGTTCCTCCACAAAAAGCAAATAACAAAACATTGCCTAATTACATGCTCAGCCCTTTCTTATTTTTACTCCTAACACATTACTTCCATCAATTTTTTTTATAAACAACTATCATCAATGAAGTTAACATTGAACTAACTGCTAATACAAGTTATTTTCCATCAGGTATTCTCGTAATGATAACTATTTCCTATCCATCAATGGATCCTTTCCTAAACAACTTAAAAGTTTCAGGGTAAATACAATAATAAGTAAGAATTAAATGCCCATAAATACTATATAATGCATGTAAATTTTAAAGTAGAAACACTAATATGGAAGTTAGAAATGAGCCGGTTTTCTGATTTTAAGACTGAGAATTAAGTTAACTAAATAATGTACAAAGAAACCAATGTTGAAACACACTACCTCCAGCTGTGGTAAAGTACAAGCTTCTCCATCAACCAGCATCCCATCTGTGGCTCGCAGTAGTAAATCTGATGAACTTGCCACAATTACCAATGATTCCGCACTCTCATGATTCCTCATAAGTTCTACAATCAATTTTACAATCCGCTGATTGATTCTCCACATCTTCTGACCTAAATCATCATCCTTGGCAATCCAGGGCTGCAATTCCCTCTCCGCCTGACAAGTAAACAAGTACAAGAAAGTGACTTAACAAGTAAAATGCAGGAAATAATAACAATGATTATTTATAAAAAGAAATCTATAAAAAATAAACATTGGA